GGTCGGTACTGGAGCCGGTCCAGCCCGTTCCCCCCGTGAGACTTCTAACCCGAAGCCTCCCCACGCCCGTCCTGGCAGGGCTGGGAACCCCGGCAAGTGGGGACGGAGCTCCGAGCGTCCCGTTTTCCTTAATTTCAACCATTTCCTTCAGAAATGCAGCGAAAGGGGTTTTTTTTTCCCCACTTGGGTCACGAGGGCGAGGAGAAAAAAGGCAACAGGGTGGTGGTGTTGGTGTTGGTTTTGGTGTGGAGGCGGGTGTTCGCGGGCCAGCGCGGAGGCGGTGGGTTTTTTTTTGCTTGGTGCTAAAATCAAAGCTGGAGCTCGGCGTTGGCTCTTTTTGTGGCAGCAGGTCGGGTTTAGGACTCGGTTCTTTCATGTCCCGTCTGTCCCTGCGGGTGTTGGCGGTGACACCATTACTTCGCCTCTGAACTCTTGAGTAGATGTGGAGGAAGGACTATTTTGAAGTGTACAGTCGAAAGTAAATAATTCTAGTTGTGTTGATTAATATAAGGAGAAAGAGTCAGTTCTACAAATCAAAAAAACAAAAAATCTGAAAAGCGTATTTTGCAAAAGCATAGTATGAATTTTAATATTGTAAAAAAAAAAGGAAAATATCTAAAATATACAGAGAACCTATGTATATCCAAATGTCTGAGGAATTTCAAGATAATCTACCTTTGTTTTCTGTTGGTTTCTATTCCATGGTGTACATATTGTGTGGATGAACATCGGCTGTTTTAATACTATTGTTAAATTGTATTTTTATTTTGTGTTAAACTAATCATCACAGACTCAGCTTTATTTTGTTTATGTAAAGGTTGCTATGCTATGTAGGTATAAAACCAAGAATTCTATTTTAACAAAAAAAAGCGTTTTATATTATTTATTAAATTACATGTTTCTCCGACTTCTGACATTCCGCAGAATTTCTGCTCCATTTATGTATAGAGATGGCAGTTCCTTTCAAGCAGGATCAGTCAGCTTTATTCTGTTTTTCATAATAAAGTCGAAATAGTTTCCATCAGTCTGTCCAGCTTACCCTTCTGTTACGAGCGTAGTCACTGTCAGGACCATCTGGAAGGGCAGTAGCTCTGTATGCAGAAACATCTGAAAAACTCTTGCCAATGAACCCCTCGGCGTATTTCTGAATTTCACCTTTATTCCGCGGCGTTGCGAAGGGCGAGCTTTTATTCACATGAGTCTGTGCTGGGTTAATGAGGATGAATGACCTTAAATTGGAGCAAGGAATCAGCTCGATGCTTGAAAAAGCTCAGATGTGGGCTTGGATATTTGCAAAGCTCTTTAATTCCGGGGTTAATGAGCGAGTGGAAGGCAGAGGCTGCGGAGCTGGGGCAGTGGCTGGCGACGCTGTAGGACA